GCCTTCTTTTGGGGGGCTGGAATGATCACTCCCCAAATATGAGGAGGCAATAGGAGTTCCAGCCAGGAAGGCGCCATCCTGAGAAGGGTGCTCCATAAGAACATTTATTTTTCTAGGCCAGTAGATCTGCACCTTAAGGTAATCCTCGACTTACGACCATAGGTGTCCCCAACATTTTTTGTTCAGTGAATTTTGCCCCGTTTTATGACCTTTCATGCCTCCATTGTTAAGTGAATCACTGAACTTGATAAGTCAGTATCCCGGTTGTTATCTGAATCTGGCTTCCCCATTGATTTTGCTTGTCAGAAGGTCACAAAAGGGGATCACAAGACTTTGGGACACTGCAATGGTCATAAGTATGAACCAGTGGCCAAGCATCTGAATTTTGATCACAGGAATGCTTCAAAAGTTGTAACTTTGAAAAATGGTCATAACTCACACTTTTCAGTGCCATTGTAACTTTGCAGGGTCACTAAACAAACTGTTGTAAGTCAAGGACCACCTATATATCTCCACCTTAATATGTAGCCTACACATTTGGTGTAGAGTGGGTTATTTGATGCCCACAAATTAGTCCTTTACAGAAATTCATAGTTTAAAATTACAGGTGGTCCTCAACTTACAACCACAATTCAGCCCAACATTTCCACTGCTAAGCAAGGCAGTTGTTAAGCGAGTCATGGCCCATTTTACTTTATTTGCCAAGGTTAAGCAAATCACTACCATTGTTAAGTGAAACATGTGGCCGTTAAGTGAATCTGATTTCCCCCGTTGACTTTGCTTGTCAGAAGCTCCCTTGGCCACAGTAAACATAGCACCCACAGGTTGATCACATGACTTGGGATTGATGGTGATAAGGGTGAGAACTGGTCATAAATCACTTTTTTCAGTGTTGCTGTAACTTCGAATGGTCATTAAATGAAAGGTTGCAAGTCAAGGACTACCAGTACAGACCACATTTGTACAATGCACTAGAAGATTAAAATGATAAGATTATGGCAACGTTATGTGAAATCAGCCAATTCGGTTTCTTCATGGTTCAGTGTACATTACCAACCAAGGTTGATAATTCAGCAACTAATATTCCAGTCTTGCGTGTTATGAGGACACAGCCTGTCTTTCTCAGGTGTTTTGTTGGTGGAACACAGAGTTTGTGTGTGTGTTAATTGGGCATGAACTTAACACTAAGCACCTTTTTCACCAGGAATTGTTGTGGCTGAATTCACACACTGTGCTCTTCACACATTATACTCACCTGTGCTTTAATGATGGTCTATTGAAAAAGCTACACTGGCTGGTTTTACCCATAAGTCTAAACCAAAATCAAATGAATTTCAGCTTAGTGAAGTGCCAATGTCAGCAAAAAATGTGGGGATACCCACTCTGCTTGTTTAAGATGGACGTGTTCCTCCATGATCCAGGGGAGAAGGGTCACCACAGAAGACGTCCTAAAGTTATTGCTAAATTGCCATTTTTAAACATGATGCAATGGTAGTAAATATTAAGCTTATACAAAATAATTGTTGCAACACATTGAATTACATGAGATTTAGTTTTTGCTGTGGTCTTGTAATTATGCTGGAATCTAGCCTGAAGTAGACTTTCAGGAGCCCATGAAGTTATTTAACAGCTATCCCCGCTCCAATCCCTTCACAGAGTTTCCAGTGCCTACCAAATAATTTTATAATAAAACCAGATCAAAGAAGCAGAAATTTCACGTTTTCCTAAGAAAGGCAATTGTGCTTACACAAGCTATTATATTTACCATGTTCTGAAGACTTAAACATTACAAGGGTTTGTTCAGTTAAACCTACAGTTACAGAATATATCCATTTATCTAGAAATAAATTTTCTATGGTATATATACCTTCATGGGCTCTTGAAAACTAATGTAGGTTAGATTCCGGCATGATTGCAAGACCAAAGCAAAAATTAAATCTAATAAAAAGTGCTACAATTATTTTTGTAAGCTTAATATTACCATGGTTTAAAAATTGCAATTTAGCGATTTTACCTTTATCTCTGAGGAAACACTTTTGGCTTAACCAACATTAAAACTAACCAACCTTCCCACAGAATACAAATGCAACCATTGTATCTTACTATGTTGTATAACCATTCTGGTCCAATACATTATACCATGTTTCTTCTGCATTATGCAAATTGAGCCATCAAGGTTTGTTAACTATGGATTATGGTTCTCTGTATATTACAGTGTATTTTTCAGGTCATATTATTAGGTAGAAATGGAAAGAGCTACTGTTAAGTAATTTGTTGTATGCACTCAGGGAAAAGTAATAGAGTGTCTCACATCATCCACATTTAAATATTTAAATATATTATATTTAAACTGCATTTACCCCATTGACTTACTCAGAGTTAAACCATGGTTTACTCAAGCCTGTGTTTGTTCACCCTCATTCAAAACTAACTTGGCTTGTTGATAGTTCAGTCTATAACCCCAGAAAGAGAGGAAAGAGCTGTTGTCAACTTAAAATCGACCAAATGTTACAAAACTAATCAACCGTTAACTCATTTCAAAAGGAAAAGGCAGCACTATCCAAACAAAAAAAAAGGTGTTTTAGGCAGGAGAGAAACCAGAACAGGCTCCCATGTAGAAAATAACAGAAAGGCCCACAAAATCCATTTCAGATGGTGGTGAGATACCAAGCAGCTCTTACCAAACCCTCATAGAAACAACTCATAGAAACTAACCATCTTCCACCTCTCGCAAATTTCAACTGAGCCCGTTGAACTGCCTGCTAAATACTACCGCAGTCACATGATCCGAACAAATGGCTTCTGGCAATTAGAGTTGAAACCCAGGTGTAGCCTTCCAACAAAGTCTTCAAGGGTAGCTCCAACTAAATCCTACTTCAGTAGCCCAATCTGGGCTCCTTCCTCAAAGAAGTGTGTTTTGCCTTTAGCACATCAAAGCCAAGGCTGGCACCTTCACAATACCTGGGACCAAACACCTTCCTGGCCATGGATGCAGCCTGTCCTTCTAGCAACAGAGGGAAGCTCCAATTCTGCATACCTGGAGGGAGTGATAAATATTAACATCTGCCAATGCCTCACCTTTCCCTTAAAGGCATAGTTACAGAGACAAGCAGCAAATATTGGCAACCCTAGCCTGGAAAGGCAACAGTGAATTACTTCTTGTCCTTTCATCCACACCGTCCTATTCTAAGAACGATAGATTGCTTAACCTTCCAGAAACTTGATCTTTCTATCTAGCTTGGAGGGGGGAATGTGAGGCACAGCCACTTGGCTATTTCTGTCCTGCTACAAACAGGTCTCTTACCCAGTAGCTCAGCAATCTCATCCCCCTTGCTCAGAAGGGGAGGAGGACAGGAACAGCTGGGGACGCCATTGGGCCAATGTTCCTCTGGAGAGAGCAGGATTCCCTACATGCTTAGTTTGGGACTGAATGCAGTTTGTCCAAGTTCCTGCTCTCTGGATGTAGCAGACTGAGATAAACCCAGCTGGTATATCAGCATTCCCAGGTAGATCAGGCAGGGAACATGACCAGATGAGCTCATTCTACTTTATTGGAAAGCTACATTAACAGGATCTTGCAAGTCTGAAAACACAATTCCGCTGCCGTCTCCTTTACTGACAGAGAAACAAGGGAGGGTTCTCTTGTCCAACCCACTACCCAGATGCAGGCTGTGTTGTTCCTTATCTGATGGTTTCCTTGGCAGTGTCTCCCCTCCCCTTTTTTATAAGGTCTGGCTTACTATCATCACAGCTGGTTTGTATCCGTGGCGGCAAACCACGTCAGCTAACTAGTGTATTATATAACATCCCCAAGTTTTTGTGAACATTGGATTAATGTGAACATTGATTTGTGGTTCAGTCAACCACAATAAGGGTATGTGCAATGTGCAAACATTGCTGATTATCAATGGGGGACTGCATTTGAAAGACATGGCTGCTTTAATGACATGGCTGGTTTAATGAGATGGAGAGATGCTGCATTCATACTCCTGTTATGTTATAAAGCAACACTTCTGAACTGTTTTTTGTTTGCTTGTAAATTTATTAGCTGCCCATCTTGCCAGACAGTAACTCTGGGCGGCTTATAAAATTAAAAGTGCATGTATAATAGTATAAATACAATAATATAAAATTAACCTAGCTAAAAAGATGGGGAGAGGGAATATGAGGAGAGAGGGAGAGGCTGGGATGTCTTGCTAACCAATCAACCACTCCCAAGATAAAATCCCTCCCTTGGTGGAGCCCCAAGCCAAACTGGCAGACTCAGATCTTTAAGCTCTCATGGAAGGTTGGGGGTCACCTCCCTTGGGGGTGGGCAGTGGGAGATGTTGCAATGGCAGAGAAGGTGCTTCTCCTAGGCCCTCCCTGTCAAAACTCCCTGGTCAATGAGGCCCACAGCAGTGGCGAGATTCAAAAATGTTTTACTACCAGTTCTGTGGGTGTGGCCTGGTGGGCATGGCCGAGGAAGGATATTGCAAAATCCCCATTCCCTCCCCACCCCACTAGCCTGTTTTCCAGTTCTGTTCTCCTGTGCAGGGCAACCAAAGAAGACCCAGCTGTTCAGCTGGGACTCGGGAGGCGGAGAATAGATGGGGGCGGGGCCAGTCAGAGATGGGATTTGCTGGTTCTCTGAACTACTCAGAATTTCTGCTACTGGTTCTCCAGAACTGGTCAGAGCCTGCTGAGTACCACCTCTGGTATTCAGAGCATGTCTCCTTTGCCAGCATAGCTGGGGCAGGTCATTGGGCTGAGAGATGGTTCTTCAAGTAACCTGGACCCATGCTGCAAAGGGCTTTAAAGATAGCTGTCAACACCTAACTTTATGTTCTGCTGATGTACACTGTTTTGATTTTCGTTTATGAAAATGCACAATAATATTGTCATTAATAAACTACTCTTGCAGGGCACAGGTTGGAGAAGGCTGGTATAGGCTGGGTAGGATGTGTCTTCCTTGACCAAGCATCTTCTTGATACCATCTTGCAGTCCGTCCTTCGCCCCAATGGCGCCCAAGAAGAAAAGCTCCAAAAAGAGCAAACCGGCAAAGAGAGACACTCCTGTTAACCTCACCTTAGCCGAAGATCCTTCTCTTGACATTGACCAACATCATCAGCTGGACAGTTTGTTTGAAAATGGTTCTGATGGCTTCCTTTGCACTGCCATGGAAGTCACCAATCCAAGCCACGGAGCCAACATGCTGTTGGAGATGAGCTCCTTGCAGCAAGAGCACTTCCTTTGCGATCTCACAATTGCTACCAAAACCAAATCGTTCAGAGTTCATAAACTGGTGATGTCCTCCTGCAGTGGATATTTCAAAAACCAGCTGAAAAAGGACCCCAGCCTTCAGCAAGTGGTCCTCAATGACATCTCCTCCTTGGGCCTGGCCACCGTCATCTCATACGCGTACACGGGAAAGTTGAGTCTTTCCTTGTACACCATTGGCAGCACCATTTCCACGGCCAGCCACCTGCAAATGTATGCGCTGCTCAACATGTGCTCGGATTTCCTCATCCAGGAGATGAATGTGAAAAACTGGATGTATATTGCCAATATGGCAGACACATACAATCTCGGTCGGATTAAAGATGCTGCCAGGAGGTTCATCCGGGAACATTTCCTAGAGTTCTCAGATACTGAGCAGTTTTTGAAACTCACCTTCGAACATTTGAACGAATTGCTGATGGATGACAACCTGGAGTTCCCTAGTGAAGTGGTGGTCTTTCAGATTGCCATGAAATGGCTTGAGTTTGATGCCAAGAGGATCAAGTATGGGGCAGATCTCCTGAAGAATGTGCGGTTCGGCACAATCCCGGCTCATGACTTGATCAACCACGTCCAACCTGTTCCGTGTATGATGCAGAACCCAGAGTGTCACAAACTTCTGGTGGATGCGATGAATTACCATTTGCTTCCTTATCAGCAAAACGAGCTTCAGTCCCGAAGAACCAAAATTCGAGGGAGCCAGAAGGTGCTGCTGATAGTTGGCGGGCGGCCATGCTCTGCAGAGAAGGCCCTCAGCAAAGACGTGAGCTACAGAGATCAAGAAGGGAACTGGAATAAGCTGACGGAGATGCCCACCAAATGTTTCAACCAATGTGTTGCCGTCATGGACAGCTTCCTTTATGTGGCAGGCGGTGAAGATCAAAATGACGCCCGGAACCAAGCAAAACATGCCATTAGCAACTTATGCAGGTAATAAAAATACAAAAATGAGAACAGCAAAGAGGTTTAATATGGGGAACTGACTGAATTCTGGGCTGGATCATTGTTGCATCTTACATCATTCTGCCTACTTTGTTAGGAAAACGCCCTTCCAAATCTCCAAGCAAGAATGTGTTTCCCAGATCTGGTACTCCTGCAAGTTAGGAGACTGGATATTCTGATGCTTCTTTTTAAGGCCTACATGAGTTTTGCCCCATTTTACGACCTTTCTTGTCACAGTTGTTAAGTGAATCACTGCAGTTCTTAGGATAGTAACACAGTTATTAAATGAATCTGGCTTCCCCAATGACTTATCAGAAAGTCACAAAAGGTGATCCCATGGTCCCAGGACATTGCAGCTGTCCTAAATACATGCCAGTTGCCCAGTGCCCAGATTTTAATCCTGTGATCATAGGGATCCTGCATAAGTCATTTTTTTCAGTGCTGTTATAACTTGAACCTTTAAATGAATAGTTGGTAAATTGAGGACTACCTGTAGTTGATTCATGTAACACCCTGATGAAAAAACAAATAAACCATGTTATGTTTTGCTATATTATATTAAGTGAACCAGGCCAATGAATGTTTTCCCATATGAAATCAAATCATTGCTTAATTGTGGTTTGTAATGGAAAATAATGGCTGTATTCATCTGTTACACTGAACCAGCAGCACCTGGCAGGGGAAGGGAAGGCAAAAGAAAGATAAGATGGTGACTGACCAGTCTCTAGGGAGTGTTTTCAATCACGCAGCTGCCACCTAGCATTTTTTGACCAGTGCTTGGTACCAGTACCACTGCACTAAGCAAAATTCAAAGATGGTTTAAGCAGTATTTGAATCTAGCCATTTGAATAGACTTTGCTCTGTCTTTAAAAGCCCAGAGAATTTTAAAGATATGTTTAAAAAAAATCTTTTAAGGCCTCTAATGAGGCCTTGATTAAAACAAGAAAATTTCTCCTGGACCTCTTTTTCCTAGTCTTGGCAAGTACCAGGTGTGTGGATTTCAAATCCCAGAATTCCACAGCCAACAGGGCCCTGGGTGAGAATTGTGTGAGTGGAAGTGCTCACACTTGGAAGTTGCCAAAACTGGGAATCACTGTCCTGTTCAGTGTTTCCTAATTTTGCTGATTGAAGATGTGTAGACTTCAGTTCCCAGAATTCCCCAGCCAGCACGAGTGGCTGGGCAATTCTTGGAGTTGAAATCCAAGATCTTCAACCTCGTAAGATTCAGAAACAACTGGTCTTGATGCTACAAGGATCTTGGGTTTGGCTGAATTCATTTCTTGTGTCTAGAAGTATCTGGGAAGGATGTCAAGCAAATCAAAATGGCAGCCTTCAACTGTGCAACTGAAGCTCAGCCCCTCCTCACATGCATTACGACACATGTTTAAACGACTGGCTTTGATTACACATTTGTGTGATCTTGACTTTTTTGATCCCGTGTCCCTCCCAAATTATGGCATCAGTGCTCTCCTCCTTTCTGCCAGGCTCCTGTGCCAAGTCTCATGGTTAGAGTCCCCAAATGGTACCATCAAATCCTCAAGAACAATCCTTTTCTTTCTCTGCAGGTATGATCCACGGTTTGGCACTTGGCTACACTTGGCTAACATGACCCACAAAAGGACTCACTTCAGCCTCAGTGCTTTCAATGGGCACCTCTATGCCATCGGAGGCCGCAACGCAAAAGGCACCTTGGTCTCTATCGAATGCTACATCCCTTCGGCCAACAGCTGGCAACCCAAAGCCAACATGGAGCTGCCACGCTGCTGCCACGCCAGCGTGGTCATCGACGGGAAGATCTTGCTGACCGGTGGCTATGTGAACAACGCTTATTCCCGGACCGTCTGCAGCTACGACCCTGTCCTGGATTCTTGGCGGGACTGTAGCTGGCTGAGCAGCCCCCGAGGTTGGCACTGTGCTGCCACATTGGCCGGCCGGGCCTATGTCCTTGGGGGCAGCCAGCTGGGCCCCCGTGGGGAGAGGGTCGATGTCATTCCAGTGGAGTGCTATAACCCTTCCACCAACCAGTGGAGCTTCATGACCCCCTTGGCCACTGGCCTGAGCATGGCAGGGGTGGCCACGCTTGACGGGCAAATCCTTCTGGTTGGGGGATGGAATGAAAGTGGGAAAAAATACCAGAAGACAATTCACGCCTTCAACCCGGATCTGAACGAATGGACCGAGGAAGGAGAGCTTTTGGAAGGCACCGTGGGGGTGTCCTGCTGCACCATTGCTCTTCCTCATGCAAACACCCGGAGCTCCAGAGCTAGTTCAGTGGCCTCTGCCTCTGTGAGCATGTAAAGGGAGCTGGATGAGATGGAAATCTGGGCTCTGGTGACTTGTTGAATCAGAGGCTTCACAGGAAAGGTGAAGGATACGTGGCGTTGGCTGAAGAGAGATCTCATTGCACAGGTTGTTGTGTGGGTTTGTGGTTCATGTCCCAATAATGACACATTTTCTGATGCTCGGATTTATCTGTGGACCTTTCCATAACTCCTTTTGGGGAACTGAAAACTGAAACATGTCCAGACCCGATTCATCAGCTGTCAATGCGCTTCATTTCTGAAAGCGACCTCTCTTCCTCGTTATACAATCTGAAAATCTTCACACACACCCTTCGTCCATAACTAGATCCTACTTTTAAAGGATTGGGAAGCCTTGGGGGACGGGGAAGGGGCTGTTTTCAATGAATTTAGTGGCCAGCTTTTTAGGACACCTCAGCCCTTAATTAAGGGCCAGCTACATTGTGTTTTGTTTGAAGTAGTCTAGTCATCTAGTACTCTATGGTTCTTTATAATGAATCATACAATCCTAGGCTGGAAGAGATCCTGGACGTTTACTCCCTGCTTGTCTTCTTGAAAACCTCCAGCAATGGAGTCACCCACAACTCTTGAGTCGCAAACTGTTCCACGGTTTAATCATCATCCCTGTCAGGCAATTCCTCCTTGGTTCCAGGTTGGATCTCTCTCAGATGAGTTTCCACCCATTGCTTCTTCTCCTGCCCTCAGATGCTATGGAGAATAAATCCTCCTCTTCCCTGTGGCAACCATTCAAGTAGTGGAAGACACTTATTTTGTCTCCCCTAAGCTTTTTTTTTAGCCTAAATATCTAGTTCCCTTAGCCGTTCGTCATACGGCTTAGCCTCCAAACCTCTTATCATCTTTGTCGCTCTTCTCTGCAGTCTTTTTAGGGCCCAGTGTCTTTCCTCTATTGGTCAGCACACCTGGGAAACACTGCTATTCCATGAAAAAATTACCAGTTTGCTCCTTCATGGGTATTCACACAACTTCTAAACCCCTCTAAGCAGTTAGGAATGCGCCCCACCATCTGCCCAGTGACCTGGCTCAAGACATGTTTGTTGCCAAACCTGTTGTCCAAACTAAAAGAGGTGCTATTGTTCTGTAGCAGGAACCAAATTTCAGCCCTAAGATTAGTCATATCTTTATTTACTTAGCCTCCTTAACCAGATCAAGCCACGAGCTTGCAAATGCTAAGTATGGCCAGGATTAGTTTGGTTAATTTCTTAAAATCAGCTCATTTGATTATTTTATGGATCAATGTCATTTGCAAGCCCAGAATAGCTGATTATGTTTATTAAATGGAATATCTGTCACGTTAATTAAAAATGACTAATATCCTGAATGAGGTGTTGAGTAAACCACAAACCATAAAGAGCCAAAGAAAATAAAGTAGATCACTGGTGAGATTTAATTTTTTTTTTACTACTGGTTCTGTGAGCGTGGCTTGGTGGGCATGGCAGGGGAAAGTTACTGCAAAATCCCCATTCCCTCCCCACCCCACTAACCTGCTTTCCAGCTCCTTTGTCCTGTGCAGGGCAACCAAAGACGACTTAGCCAATCAGCTGGGACTCGGGAGGTGGAGAATAGATGGGAGGGGCAGGGCCAATCAGAGGCGGTATTTGTCGGTTCTCCGAGCTACTCAAAATTTCCACTACCAATTCTCCAGAACTGGTCAGAACCTGCTGAATACCAGCTCTGGAGTGGATTCTCATTAACCAAGCAGAGACGTCTTAAAGTCATGTGAATATTCCCAGCCTCCCTTATTTGCTTCTATACAGGACTAAACTAGGAAGTATCCATTATTTCTGCTTTTTGGCAAACTACAGATCCCAGCAACCCTGACCACTTGGCCACTAATGAAGACATGTTGAGTTGTATTTTAACAACATCTGGAGGGCCATGAGATCCCCACACCTGGTCTAGGAGAAACAATGCTTCAAATACATGCACCAGTTTCTACGTGGAACTGTACAAGACTATGAAGAACTATTGTTCATCTTCTTAGTAGTCAGTTGGGACTCTTTTGCTCCGCCCCGATTGCCTCCAAAGATGCTGGGGGTAACAATCTGGTTATAAAACATGCATATGGGCCAGCTTGATGGGAGAGGATGGGATTGCATGGGTCTTAAATCACACAGTAAATAGTTCAAAGAAAGGACTCAGCAGGATAGGCGAACTTGTCTTCCAGTCCTTAATTTGGGGTGGGGTGGATAATGGTGGCTAGATTTATATTATCACTTTATTTGGATTGTATTGAAGAAGCCAGAACGGCCTGGGTTCACTTAATACTATGAAGCTAGAAGCGGATTAAACACTTATCAGTGATGTTTCTATAACCAGCACTGTTATTTATATCCATTTATTATTTGTAGAAACACCTCAAGGTAGCAATACTCCTTCCGATTTCCCCACAAAAACCTTGTGAGAAGTTGGGCTGAAAATGACCAGTCACTAGCCCAAGGCTGAGTGTCCCAGTTTGTAGCCTAATGCCTTAACCGCTGCACCAAACTAGCTCTATTTACCATCCTATAGGGGGAAGTTGTGATGGAAGATGTGCCATGTGCAATGACAAAAACAGGAAAGTCAAACAGTTATTGTGCGATTAATTAAATGTACCAAGGTTCAAATACAACTTGATTCACACCTGGAGCTGGCTTTAGTCTTGTATGTTGTGAGCTAATCAGATTCAAAAGATTGTTCATACATATTGTGTGCAACAGATCAACATTTTCCTTCCATTCACAGCAAGCAAACTGCAATGGTTGTGTTCATACAGCATGCATATTGAAAGTTGGTCATGGCTTAGTCTAATTGTCCTGATTTTTTAGTTTTGTGTTGATTTAAGAACCCACTTAGAACAAGCTTGCAGAATACACTTGATATAGTGAGGTGTCCAACTTATGATTGTGTTGTATGAGCTCAGAACGTGCTGCATTCTAACAATAGCATCAATTCTTACCCACTTGTAAGATTCTGTCTCAGTTAATGCTGGCTATGCACAAAAAGGCAGGTTATTTGAGCATCTTTAGACATTTATTAGTTGGAACAAATGTAATTTTCCACCTTTTGTTAGGTCATTTAGACACCTCATGACCAAGTTTTTTAAAAAAGAAATTTAGCTGCAGAACCTGTTCCCTAAAACCTAGCTTCTATCAGAAAATTGACATTCTTCTTTCATTGCTGTGTCTCTTTCACGCCCATTTTCAAATTGGGGTGTTGCCAGACGATCACTTAGGAAGGAGGCAAAGACCAGTAACTGCAGGCTGGGTACAGCAAATGAACTTTGCAAGCATAGGACAAATGTTTTTATACAAATTGAACACAAGGGGATAATACATACAGCTGAGACAGGTCTATTGTTAAGCCCAAGACTGGTCTTGAGAGGTTGGTTGTCAGGGAAAGAAGCTTTTCCTGAGTTAAGACATGTCTAGACATGTTTTAATAGGCAGATGAGCCTTGAAAATTACCAATCCAAGGCATTTATTTATATAGCACAGTCTATCATCTCCAGCAAGGATCAAACTCCATGATGGGACAGGCTGTGAATGCACCTCTCTTGAAAAAGGGGATAGTACTGGAGCAATGGTACAACAGGATGTTCTGGATCAGGGAGGAAGTAGGAATTTCTCTGAAGAGAAACCACTCCATCCTAGAGAAATAACTGATATGATTCAACTTATAAACATTACAAATTTCTGTCTCTTTTGATGAGTTTTTTTTAGAGTAGAAATGAATTTGGCCTGCGCCAATCCTACTGTTACATTTGGAACAAAATCAAAGGATTATACATTGTTAAGGATTGACCATCAGATTTCAGCAGTGCTACTTCTGGAATGCTGGTAGGTTATATGCAGCCAGGAATCGTTCATTCCTGGTCTAGGACAGTGTTTCTCAAACTCAGTAACTTTAAGATGTGTGGACGTCAATTCCCCGAATTCCCCAGCCAGCCATGTCATACATCTTAAAGTTGCTGCAATCATTGGCCTAGGGAAATTGGTTGAATGAAAACTGGATATTTTCCAAGCTATCATACAAAACATAAAAAGGAAGACCAATGCATACTTATTAATGTTGCTATCAATCCTGACTGGATCACACTGGTGGCTTCTGGATGACAACTGCCAAATCAAACGAATAACAATCAACCTCTTCAGAAACCCATATGCTCCCACCCAATGCAGCATTGCTGCCCCAAAATAGTTTAACCTAAACTTGAAGTTTCTTTCCAAAGAGTGAAATTCAATGCCCAACTATAGAGTCCATGGAGAGAAGATTACACGACAGCAAATTAAACAATGTAAAATTTTATTCACACTTATTTCCTAGTGGAAATAATTCATTTGCCTGGAAGAATGATGCCATCATACTGCAAAAAGAAGAAAGAAATTGGATCAGATATAAGCAAGGCAAGTATATGCTTTAAACACGTAAGTTCCATCACACTCTATTTTTTTCAGATTTATAGGCTATGTCAGACCACACAGCAGGCTCAAGCCATTCAAAGTTCACATATCCCATCCCCCTCTCTCCCCAACTTCCACATGTGTGAATGTTTGCACAACAATCTCACAAAAAGGGCTCAAAAAGGTTGAAGCTTGGACAATATTTAACTGACACTTTATTCTGAACTGTGGCCTAAAAGGATGAATAACTCATTTGAGACTGTCTTCAAAGGCTCTATTGACTCAACCCAGGCAACTAAGAGCCTATTTAAAATTTTGCTTGTTGCAATTAGGTTGCTGAAAAAAAGAGGATCTCATGAATGAAGTGCTGAAGGATGAAGGATCTCATGAATAAAGAACAGTTTTCTCACATGGAAGCAGATTTGAAATGCAATGTTCCTGGATATTCTATGACTTACATGATGCATAATAAAAACTGTATAAATTACAATTTGCTGTAATATGTGAAGCACACTCTCCTCTTTTTACATTTAATAGATCTCTCATAGTTAAGGACTGGTAGATACTAACAATTCAAGATAACTCCACAAAACTATCCAATCCAGCAAAACCACTAAGAGAAATGTATCGCCCACAGTTCTACTGAAATGCAAAGACAGGTGGCCCTCAGCGGAGGGTGGCAATTGGGACAGGATTTCCGCTTCTAAGCACGTTTGCAAAGTGTGACTGCATCACTGCAGTCCCAGTTGCTGTTATTAACTGAATCCCAGAGTCATAAAGCAAAGCCACTTCCTGTTGGCTTCCCACAACCAAAATCAGTGGAGAACCCAACAGGAAGTTGCAAGTCCTACACAGGCAGTGGGTGAGGGGCTGGAGAGGTGTGAGATATCCCAACTATTTGTGACCTTCCCTGCCAGCCTCCTCATGGACTTTCTAGGGAAGCTGGAGGAGAAGGTTACAAGAAGTGATCAAAAGATAACAGGGCACCCCAATTGGTTGTAAATGCGAAGTGTCTCCAGATCAAGATCATGTCACTGTGGGGATGCTGGGATGGCCAGAAAACTGAGAGTTGGGTCACAA